GGCACCCCCACTGAGGGCCAGGCCACATGCTCGGCCCTGGGGACCCTAAGCTAGATACAACCCACATTGGCCTCAGAAGGAGCTTGCAGAGGAGAAGCCCAACCCTGGGCTCAGAAAAAGTCTGTGTATTGATTTATTCAATTATTTGCTCCAGAAAGACTGAGCACCTGCTGTATGCGAACCTGAATGGGCATGCACAGAGCGCCAACCTCACAGGGCTCAGAGTCCAGGAGAGAAGGCTAGCAGCCCACCCCCTCACCCCGACTGTGCAGGGAGGCAAGGCCCAAGCTCAGAGGGCCATTCACTCATCCAGCACACGGCTGCGGGTGTCCACTGCTTGGTGGGTGAACACAGACGGCCCTCAAGGGGATGGCACATGCTCACTCACAGCAGGACATGGTTCAAGTCCCAGCTCTGCTGGGGATTAGCTGCGTAGTGGGCTCCTCTGAGAGCTAAAGAGGAGGGGGCCAGGTGCTGAGCCCCTGCCATCCAGAGAGCCCTCCTTGACCTGCCAGTGGGGAGAGCTGGCTGGTTCTCCCCCAGGGGTGCAGTTTAGGCAGCTGGGGGAGGGGCCCCAGTGCAGCGGCTGGGTACTGGCTTGTGTCCTGAAGTCACCCAAGGCAGTACCAGGCCGGCTGGCTGGAGCCCAGCCTCTGGAGGAAGCCTCATTTGTGATGCAAATGGCTGGCAGTGGCTGCAGGCCAGGGCCTAGGGCCCCCTACCAGGACCCCAGAGCTTTGGTTTTCAGCAGAGCCTGGGGAGGGATTGGGGGACCCTCCCCAGCCACTTCCCAGGTGGGTTAGGGGTGAGCAGGGACCCCCAAGGCACTCCGCATGGCCAATGGAATAAGCAGATGGGAAAGTGTTGGCTGGCAGAGGGCTTGGAAGTCAAGGCCATCTCTCTGGACTTTCTCCCTTGGGTCCTGCAGAAACCAAGGCCCTCTGAGTCACACCCTGTCATCTCCTGGAGGGTCCCCGTGGCCCTCCAGCCTCTCCTGGACCCCCTGCAAGGCTGAAGCCATGCAGACCTTCTCGCTGTCTTTCCCTGGCTCTGTGCCACCTCAGGGATTTTTCACATGCTGTTCACATGAAGCCCTGGAGGTCTCAAGGAAGAAAACTGGTATGTGATGCCTGGTCAGTACGTTGGCAAATATAAGTTAAATGATTATTCTGCGTAAAATGCCACCACTTTTCACAGCAAGAAGGAGACTGCAGACAGCTGGAGGCCGGAGAAACTGCTAGGCTGGGGAGCAAGGAGGTGGGGAGGAAGGGCTGAGCTCTCCGCTGGAGTCCTCCCTGCTTCCTAAGCCAAACCACCTACAACTCGTCCCCACCAGAGAACAGCAGTGCTTCCCTCCTCTTCTTTGAAGCGGAAGGGTGGGCGGAGCCAGTCTGCAGGGCTTTGGGGGGGGGGGCAGGTGGAAACCTCAACAAGGTGCCAAATGCTATTCTGGGAGGCCAAGAGCGGAAGTCATGCTGGCCATGGTCTCTGGCTCCATCATAGCAAACGCGGCGGTGCAGAGGGAGGGGTGCCCCTGGGGAGGGGAGAAAGGAGCAGGGGGTGCTCCTGGCCAGGGCCCAGGCTCCCAGCCCCCAGGGAGCTGCTAGTCCAAAGCCAAGCCGGCGTTTGCTGGGCAGGACGCTGCTGCGGTGGGGCCTGGGAGGGGCTGATGCATTCGTTCCTACCCTGTCCTCTCGGCCAGCCTCGGCCTCCTCTCCCTGGCCATGCGTTTGCTTCCCTGGCCTCCCTGTAGACCCTCAACCTGGCTGAGGACATCCAGCCTCAGAGCGTCCGCACATGCTGTGAGCTCATCTGGAATGTTCTTCCCACTGCTGCCGCCTCCTTATGTGACTTCTCTCCAGTGAGTCTTTTGCTGGGCCCACCTCTCACCTGGGCCCTCCCGGTTCCTCTACATCACTTCACCTGCTTGTTTCCTTCATGAATTTCTAACTCAATGATGTCTTTGCTGTGTTTGAACAAGAAGCTTCGGTCCAGGCAGTCGCCATACCCACCTTTCTACGGCTGTACCCCCAGTGCCTGACATTTGCTGAAGCAACAGAAAAAAGAATCTTTGAGGCACAATGTGTTGTCACTTAAGGAAAAATAATCAGTGGTTCTGAGGCTCATCAAAGGGAGAGCCAGAGTCTAACCCCGGGTGGGGAATTTTGGGGTAAAATATTAGACTGCTCTGCATGGTGGAGGCTGACTTTGTGATGGGCGTGGCTGAGTTAGGGAATAGTGGGAGGGAGATGCATCTTCTTTCCTGTGGAATAACCCAGAGGGGGGAGCCAGGGGCCACCCCCATGGATCTGGAGCACGAAACCAACATAGGCTGAGAAATGGAGAGAACCTGAGTCCTTACAACAGAGCTGGATCCAGCCATTCCTGAAACCAGCCATATTCAGCTGCATGAGCCAGTTGTAGCAACTAACCATTCTCTAGAGGGTTATCAATCAAGGTTATTTACCTCGCAAATGACAGAAAACCCAAGTCAGACTGCTCTGCTGGGCAGAATAATGCCCCTGCTCCCAGGACGTTTATGTCCTGATCCCTGAACTTGTGAATGTGTTAAGCTCGTGGCAAAAAGGACTTTGCAGTTGTGATTCAGATTATGGACCTTAAAATAGGGAGAGTATCCTGGATTATCCAGGTGGGTTCATTCTAATCACACAAGCTACTAAAAACAGAATTTTGTCCAGCTGGAGACAGAGAGAGGTAACAGAAGGGGTAGTTGGAGAGATTCAGAGAATAAGAGGGACCCACTGTTGCAGCAGAGGGCCATGTGGGAAACATGAGGAGGAATGTGGGCAGCTTCTAGGAGCAAAGACCTGCTTCCCGCCGTCAGCCATCAGGGAATGGGGACCACAGCCCTAGGGCTGCAAGGAACTGAACTCAACCAGCAGACTGAATGAGCCTGAAGCAGATTCTTCTCCTGAGCCTCCAGTCAGGATCACACCCCTGCCAATACCTTGATTTCTGCCACCCTATGCTGAGGACCCATCTGGGTCATGCTATTTCTGGAGTTCTGATCTATGAAAGTATAACATAATAGATGAGTGCTGTTTTAAGCCACTAAGTTTGTCATGGCTAGATACTATAGCAATAGAAAACTAAAACATTGCTTTAATGGAAAAAGAGAATTGACTGGCTCAAGAATGTGGCTTCAGGAATGGCTGGATCCAGCAGTTTAAGCACTGTCACGGGACTTGATTTCTCTGCTTCCCCCAACCTTCTGCCTCCTAAACTGCTTTCATGCTCAGGCTCCATGGGATTGTCCTGGCAGCTTTAGGCCCTCATCCCCCAGGTAAATCCACAGGACAGGGGCCTGCCTCTCCCCCTACTATCCTACAATAAGCCTCACTGTATCTGAGTGGCCGTAATGGACCATGGACCCACTACTGAACCAATCACAGAAGAAAGTGGCCTGGAATGTTCTTTCAGGTCAGGTCTGGGTCACATGCCCACCCCCATGGTGCCAGGGGTGGATCTGGAGCCACCTGAGACCCAGGGATGGGAACAGAGAAGGTCTGGTTCCCCAGAGGAGAATCTGCACACAGTTACAGGGGGTCCACAAATGGCCCCAGGAGCTGTGGGCCAGGCAGTAGGTGGGAGGTCTGACCTCGCAGAGGATTTGCCCTGTTTTACTTTCTGGAGGTGATGTGCTCTGCGGTGTGGCTTGGGAGGAGGAGGTGCACGATCCTGCCAAGAGGGACCTGGAGCCTCCAGAAGCCTGCCCAGCTGGCGCCCGACAGCCCCTGCCGCAGGGCTGCGCTTCCAGACGTGCACCCTAACAAACAGGGAAGCATTTCGTTCAGAAGCATGCTTCACTGGGACACGGAGTAAATAAACTGATATTTATACCACAGCCCCACAGGGTGGCTTCTTGGCTCTGAGGCAAATATGGTCAAAACTGAGTTCTGAGGGCCTGGGAGGAGAGCTGGGCCTTCCCAAGAGGAGCCCAGTGGGAGGCGTCCACGTCCTACAGGCATCATCTTCCATGGATCCCAGAAGCCTCTGGCTGGGGAGGGAAGCTGCACACTCCACTTGTCTGCCTTGCACCCAGACAAGACCACCTTCCTCGCATCCCTGGGCATTTCCCTGGTCAGCTCCAGGCCAGGTCCCAAGCCGGGGGCCTGGGTACCCAGGGCCCTGTGCATTTTCTTATGAGGATGCATATCCATGCTGCTTCAGGGGACTTCTCCTCAGCCTGGAAGATCATTCCATTTAAATTCTTTAAAATTCGTATGTTCAGCAACTCTAAGTCCCCCTACTATGTGGCTGGTGCTGGGCACAGTGGCTGGGTACCCACAGACGGGTCTGACTCACTCCTGCCCCATCCCAGCACACAGTCCAGGACAGGACACAAATACTGAATAAGCAAACAAGTAATACTGGAGAAATGCAAAACCTGGTCAGTGCTCCAGGGGAGGCGGGGCAGGGGAGAGCATGCAGGGGGAGGGAGGGCAGCCGGGAGACAGCCGAGGGTGGGCCCACTGCAGGAACCTCCCGAGGGAGGGTGCACCAGGCTGCAGGAACTGCTTGCACAAAGGCCGGGTGATCACGTGCTCTTTCCTTCCCAGCCCCTGTCTGGGTCTTATTGGGTGGTTTCCTCATGTACTGCTCAGCTGTCCCAGGAAACTGCAAGTCCTATGAGGGCAGGAATTCGCCTCCTTTGTTCCCTGCTGTACCTCAGAGCCTGGAACACAGTCTGCACACAGGAGGTACTAACGCACATGAGCATGGTTCACTGACGGCGGAAATGACTGGTGCGCTGAAAGCTGCAAAGACCAGTGGAAAAGCAGTTAAAATAGTGAGATCCCAGTGAGAAGTACGGCTTTGCCCCTCCATTGCTAGGACAGAAACCTGAGGTAGCAAACTCAACTGCTAGCTCGGGGGACATGGAGAGGATTTCCTTTGGTACTTTGAAGAATTCTGTGACCTTCCAACATTTTACTGTGAGACCTGCATTTCTTTTTACTTCCTGTTTTTTATAATTACAGTAGCAACACACATTTGCGGACCCGTGTTCAAACAAAGGATGAAGTGAAAGGAAGTCCATATGCACCAGCTGCAGCCCCCTCCGCCCACCTGACATTGCCTGATGCCCCTTCGGCAGAGCCCCCCTGCTCCCAGACTACACCTGATGTTTGGGGGAGAGGTGTGTCCCCATGTCCACCCAAGGGCCACAGAGCCAGAGGCCCAGGGTTGGAGTGAATGTACGTGGAGGCCTCAGAAAGGGCTGCACCCCTCCCCAGCTCGGTGACGCTAAGAGCCTTGCCTCCCGCCTGATGTGGGGACACAGCCCAGTACACAGCCCAGTACAGACACCGACTCCCTGTGAGAGATGTTCCTGCCCCTCACCACGGCCTCTACCCCAGGATTCCAGCCAAGCAGAGACCTTGAGTACAAACAGCAGGAAGGCAGGGGGGCCAGCGAACGCATGATCCAACGTTCAAGTGATACTCAACCGTAAGTGAGTGTCAAACCCCACAATTCGAATTTTCCCACGGTGACTTCCACTGTTTTTATGGACTATTCTTTCTCCATCTTTTCTCATTTTTTTCAGAGCTGCTTCCTGTCTGGTTTCCCAAGGCCTCCTTGGTGAAGTGCGCCTGGTGGGTGGCAGGCAACCCCCTGCCCGCCGAGTTCCTGGCAACCGCTGATTTACTTTCCATCTCTACGGCATTCATATGGACAGACTCGTACGAGATGCAGTGTTTTGTGACTGGCTTCTGTCACTCAGCTTCATGCGGTTGAGGTTCATCTGTGTTGACATGTGTATCAGAATTACATTCCTTTTTAGGGCCAAATAATATCCCTTGTACAGACAGACCCCATTCTGTTCATCCATTTTTCAACTGATGGGCATGCAGGTTGTTTCCGCTTCTTGGCCCTTCTGAGCGTTTTGCGAGGCGGAGCGTACTGACTTGCGTAAGGTCTGTCCCTACGAGGGGAACTGGCTGGGTCATGCGGCAACTCCAGGTTCAGTCATTTGAAGAACCTCCAGATGGTTCTCCCAGCCCTGCTTTGGGGTTCCAGTCCTCACATCCTCCCCACCACAGGTTATTGTCCGGCTTTTCATTCTAGCCCAATGGCTTCACATCCTAGTGGGTACGACCTGGTATCTCACCTCACGGTTTGGCTTTGATTTGCATTTGTTGTTATTCTTTCAAACCAGCTTAAGCTGCAATAAAAGTCAGCCTCACCCTGTACTCATGAAGGATTTTAGTGCCACAGAAAGGAAAGGAATGGGGGCTCCCCCCTCTGGCCCGCTCTCACCAGCAGACCTCCAAGGGGATTCACAAAAAGTATTTTTTAAACTGAAAGGTCAAAACCCTAACAAAGGGTTACAAATGGATTTCATTCCCCAACTGAGGCAGGGAGGGCTTTGCTTTTTTTTACCTCTGAGAAACTAAAGAGAAAACAAAGGGAAAATGGGCAGGTGGAACACAAACAATGAAAAGGAGCCACACCCAGTGGTTCTCGGTCAAGCTTCTTATTAGAATCATGTAGGAGCTCTTAACAGCCATGTCCAGGCCCCCGGCCCAGAGACTGGGATTCTCCTGGTCCAGGGTGGGGTCCATACAGTGTCACTTTAGAAGCTCCGCACAGGGAGCTGGTGACAGGGATCACTGCGAGGCCCCGTCTCCTGCTCAGTGCAGACTGTCAGCGTATTCGGGCGGGTTATACCTGTCGGTTCTGGTTATAGCCAGCAAACTAGAGGTGCTACTAGTGTTGGCAGGCGTCCAGTGACACCTGAGATCCAGACTGGAGGGGTGGGAAGTGCCACGCGTCCCCAGGGACTGACCCTTTTTCCCAGGACGGGGCAGGGCAGGACAGCCCCAATAGTAACCAAGGACCTGCACTGCCTGAGCACCTGCCTCACACCTGGCTGAGAGCTTTTCCCACCTGTATCCCGTGAGGAACTATGGGCTATTCTTATCCTTCATTTACTGATGAAAAACTGAGGATCAGAGAGGGTGAGTGCATTGCCCAAGGTCACACTGCTTGTAAGAAAAGAACCCAAGTCCATCTGATTCCAAACCTTGAATTAGTAACCCTTGGCCTGGACCATCTCCTGAGGCAAAGCCGGCTGCTGGCGTGGGGATGGGTGTTGGCCGTCTCTCTCCCCTTCTACCCATCCCTCCCTCGTCCCTCCATCCACCAGTCCTTCCTTCCTTTCCCCCTTCCTTCCCTCCCTTCCTCCCTCTCTGTCCATCCATCCTTTGCTCGTCCATCATCCCTGCACCTCCCTCCCTCCCTCCATTCCATGAATGTTCTCTAGTTACACATCAGGGGAATAACACCCAGGTGTATCTGACGCAGCCCCTGCTTTTCTCCCCCACTGGACTCTCTCCCATGGTTCCTAACCAGCAAACCAAAATGCCCACCAGAGCTCGGTGAGAGGCACAATAAGGACTGGTGGGGACTGTGGCAAATTGCAGAGCACATGTCCAGCTGTTGCTCTGAGGGAATGTGGGCCCAGTGTTGCCCGCGACTTCGCGTTGTGGCTGCCTTTCCCTCCCATGGTGCTCTGTGGACGCTTCTCCCTGTCAGTACACTTGCACCATTTGGTTCTTCAGGGCCGCACTGTATTTCGCGTCACCATTCCCTCCAGGGGAGAAGGCGGCAGCAGGTTAGAGGAGCCGGCTTGGACTTTAGACCCTCTGAGGTCTGGACCCCAACTCTGCCAGGTACTTGCTATGTGACCACTTTGAGCGTGTTTCTGCATCTGTAAATGCAGACAGTGTATGTGGGTCTCGCACAGGGCTGTTGTGCAAATCTGATGAGCCAAACACAGCTGAGTGGTGGGCACAGGGCCTGGTGCAAGCTAGGTGCTCAGTAAGTGCAGGATTCTCCATCCTGCCTACCCCCAAAAGAAGCGACATAGCCACCCATCCCCCTTTTACCTTGGAGGCCTTTTTTAACCCTCAGCATACGATTCAGGCCTGTGGCCTTTCCTGGCCAGCCGTCCCTTCAACCAGGGCCCCCATGTGCCAGCAGCCTCTCTCAGGATTCACCGCTCCCCCGGCCCAGGAGAGCTCATGCCCGCAGAAGGGCAGAGACAGGGCCGCACCACCACAGGGCGGGCTGTCCAGGCGT